ACAATCCCACCAACAATGTATGAGTTCCTATCTTGCCGCATCCTCTCCAACAATAATTACTTGCTGTCCTGTTAAACTTTGCCACTGCTACTAGAGTGAGATGGTATCTCATTGTGATTTTGATATGCATCTCTCTAATTGCCAGTGATTTTGAGCATTTCTTCATGTCTCTATTGACCATTTGAATATCTTCTGTGAAAATTCTTACCATGTCTTTTACCCATTTTGTAATTGGATTATCAGTCTTTTTATTGTGGAGGCCCAGGAGTATTCTGTAAACTTTCATTATAAAACTCTTGTCGAAGATGGCATTGCAAAATGTTTATTCCCAGTCAGTAGGTTTTCTTTTCACCTGTTGGAAAAAGTTTTTTATGTGCCCAGCGATTAAATCTTTTGAAGGTCCCATTCATCAGTTTTATCCTCTTCAGATTGTGTATTTCTGGCTGTATTTGTCAGTCTCTTTCCATTGCAAAAACCAGATGCCCAAACACAACCAAATGGATTGAGAAATTATGGTACATTCACACTATGGAATACTACACAGCACGCAGAACAAATGATTTTTTTTAAATTACTACCCAATTTGTGAGGGACTGGAGAGCATTATGCTAAGTGAACTAACTCAATCCCATGAGGACAAATATTTTATAAAACCATTTTTGTAGAATGAGTATAAGGATCCAAGAGGGAGAGAGGGTGGAAACAGAAGGGTGAGGATTAGTAGTACTCAATTCCCTTCTCTATTTGTTCTCTCCTTTTATCTTTTGTAAGATAAAAGGCAATGTGAACTATATCCCAGGAAAATGCCCCTTAAATGGATTAAGAGCTGTTTCCTGAGTAAAGGTGTTGTATCTCACCTTAATCACATTATATCTTATTGGCTGATCAAATCAGATCATACCACGGGAAATGATTACATCCATAAATAGCTGCCAAAATATAATTTCTTAACTGCCAAACCATGGAGAATCTAGACACCAACTTGGCACACAATTGAATTGAGAGCATATAATAGGCATTTATTAAAAATATAAGTTGTTGTTGTTGTTATATGCT